GAGGCACCGCGTCCAGGCGGGTTGGGGACCCTGAGTGGAGCCCTCGCGGGCGGCGCGAGCTTCTCGGGGAGAGGCTGGGCGCTGACCTTTGCTTATCGCCCGCGGTAGGAACAGCTAATTAAGTCCCCCGCCTTGGGGAGACCTTTCCCGGGGCGGCCGCGCCGCCTGAGTGGCGGAGATAGCCGCGGTCGCCCGGCCAGCGGTGACCTTTCCCGGCCCGATGGGGCGGGGAGGCCGGAGAGGGCGCGGCGGTGGCTCCCAAGGGCCGACCCGGGCGGAGGAGTGGGTCGCTCGGAGTCTGGGACCCGAGATCGAACCCGGCCTGTGCTGTGCACTTCCACGCCACCCTCTCAGGGCAAGGGACAGTGGGGAAGAGCGCCCGTGACGTCATCGAACCCCGAGCCCAGCCTCCGCCGCTGACGTCACAGAGGGCGGCGTGCGTCACCGCATTCCTCTCATGACGTCAGTGTGAGAAGCTAGAAACTCGCCCACAGTGAAAGCGAGAAGTACGAAGGAAATCTTTCCTTTTTCGCCTTTTTGATTTGGGAAGTCATTTGAAGTTCGTAAGAGAGGACTACAACTCCCAACTGGCCTTGCGGGTTGCGCACGCGCACGTCTTCCAACCAGAGAGCGCGGCAAACCTTTGGGCTAGATCGACATCCCTTTAGTCGAACCAGAAGGCAAGTTTTATAGCCTCAACCCAATCCCGTCTTCACAGATCCCACCCCTTTATTCTTAGCCCGCTGCTTCCTTGCGGGAGTGACGGGCTCCGCTGCCTTTAAGGGTTCAGTTTCCTTTGAGGGACGTTCATACTGATAAATCAGAGCGCCGGGAAGTCAAGAGGGCGTTGAATAGCGTGGCCAGGGGCCAATAGCGTATCTTAAGGGCCTGGCGCCGTCCAATCACTTCTCCCGGCACCGCCAATCACTCTGGGCCCCGCCCCTACGCGTGACGTAAGTAGGGTGGGTAGCAACAGTTGCCCCGGTGAGGGAAACGGAGGCGCCATAGCCACGGTAGTCGTGGCGACCAAGCAACCCGGCAACGCGAGTCAACAACAACAACCGCCTGGTCGACCCCCACCCCCGCCCCCCCGGCGCGGCCTGGGGACCCTGGCACGTTCCGTCCCCCTCCCAACATCGCCTCTGAGACCTCCGAAAAGCCTTTCCGCGGACAGAAGTGGGGAGAAGCCGAGGTAACCGGGACAGCCCTGGGTGGCTGGCCGGGCCAGGGCAGGCGGTGGGGCCCGGGCAGCGGGTGTCGCTGTAATCACAGTCCAGGGGGAAGGGGCGGGCGGTCAAAATGGCGGCGGCGACTGTCAGGGCCGTGGGGGAGGGGGCCGGGGCCCGGCTGGGGCGACACCACCCGCCCCCCAACCCCGCGGCCCGTCCCCCACGAGGGGCGGGCGCTCGCAGGCCCGCGGCGAGTGGAGGTCGAGCGGCCGGGGCGGGGGGCTTTTATATGTCGGGAGCTGCGAAGGGGCGGGCCTGGAGAAGTTGGGCCAATCGGAGCAAGAGAGGAACAAGGCGGGGCCAAGGTGGGTGGGCGGGGTCGCGCGGCCCCCCACCCTCGGGAACCGGGTGGGGCAGCCACCGCCCGGGCTGTCGCGCTCCCAGAAGCTGTGTGCAGCAGCCTGTGCTACGTCCCATTAGAGCCCCGTGTACTTGTCCCCAGGATTCAGAACTTGGACAAGTGCCTGGCCCATCTGAGGTCTCAGTTTTACATCCTGTAAAATGGGGAGAATCGTCGCTCTCTCCCTTTTTCTACATCACAGGGACCCCCAGTTCCTTCCAGGAATTTCTTTACAGCTCATTCTTGAACCTTTTACCTCTGTCGACTGTTTCCGAATATGGCTTGACAGATTAACTGTTAGCTTGTCTTGATTTCAACACGGTCCTACACTCCTACACCTGCCTTTTTCTCTCTGGGAGGAGTGGAGAGGGACACTTTCTTGGAGAAGCTGTGGGCTAGGAGTACACTTGGCTTCAATCTGGAGGATTTGGTTTGCAGAAATGGAAGCCCGTGGCAGGGAAGAGTGAGAGACAGCTTTAGAGGAACTGAAACCCKGTTGCTCTTCTCTTGGTCTGGGGGGCTCATTCCCGGAGACCAGGACTTCTCCTGGTCTGTTCCCTTCTGAAATGGAGTCTWATGGCGGCAGAGGAAGTTTCTTAGATTCCTTAAGCCACTTCTCTTGGCCAGACACATGTTTTTGTGTCAAGTTTGTATCAACAGGGTCACATGTCATGAGGAGGTRCCAGCCTCCAGAGCCACGTGGCCGGGAGAGGGTGCCGCGGTCAGAGGGAAGGGGAAGCAGTCCACGTTTTTCAGAGGAGAACCTTTGCAAGGCTTTTTGGGGCAGAAGATCTGCCAACTTGGGAAAGATTTTTTTCTTTAAGTAGCAGCCAGGCCAAGTCTATTTTGCTGATTCTCTGTCTTGCTTTTGAACTGGGCGTCGGTGTGCAAATTGCAGTTCTTTCCTTTTAAATCAGTCAATATACTCCAAGGAAAAGCACTCCCCCATGAACTCAAGATCCTGCTGGGGGGCAGGGGTCTCACTTCTCCTGGGGCCTTATCTGGCTCAGGCCCTTGGAGAGGAGAGGCCAGACTGCTTGAAAGTTAAGACATTGTGTAGCCCCAAGTGTCCACCTCTGTTGCCATTAAAGAAGCTTAATTTCCTTAAGAAAGAGAGGAAGAGATACAGGTGGAGGTTGGTTGCTAAGAAAGGTTGGCAGCACCCCTGGGAATCCTGCCTTTGCCCAGTGATGGTGCTGGCCTATCTCAGCCTCGAAGCCTTCTCCATACCAGGGATTCTGACTGGTGGAAGACCTGAGCCTAGAGGGTCATTTGATGGGGGAAGGGACACTGGCTTGGTTTACTTGTCCCTGAGCCGGTCAGTTGTTTCCTAGCTGTGTGCTCTTGGTGACTTGACTTCGCGTCTCTGGCCTCGGTTTCCCTCATCTGAGCTGGGAGTGATCTCTCGACCTCAGATCACTGGCTGTGATCCCACGATGTGATACCGTTGAGCATTGACTAGGGAGTGATGGCCCAGGCTGAGCTCGCCTCGGCCTTCACTACGGTGATTGTCACTTCCTGCCCAGCCCTCAGAATTAACCGTTGGTATTTATTTTTATCACTTTGAATTCGGGAGAGTGTAGTGGCTTTAAAGTGTGGCTGGCTCGCTGGACTGTGTGGGGCAGTGACGGGCAGCCAGGAGCTGGAGACTTGGACTTGGCTTCTAGTAGGAGAGTGTCATTCCCTTGCTGTTCGGTGGCCTTTTTCTGGCCTTGAAAGAGTAGCCAGAAGGGAACCTGATGCCTGGGCCTGGGCTCAGACTCAGTCTCGGGCTTCCCGGGCTGGGTGACGGGCTGTGAGCAGCGTGGCCGGGGGCCCTGGGCATGGAGGGGTGTCTGGGAGAGCTGCTCACTCTTTCCCTGTGGGCAGCAGTGGCCACACAGACCCTCCCAGGGCCAGCCTTCAGCCAGCAGCTGCACAGGGCGTGGTCTTGGTGGCAGCCAGGTTCCTTGGGTGCTCCCTGGGCTGCAGTGCCTGGGCGGCATCGTCGCCCACCCCCAGGCACAGGCCTGCTGCGGGCAGGATGCAGGACCCGTCTCACAGTCTCACCAGTCGGTGTTTTCAGCTGGCCTCTGACCCCCAGCACTGTTCCCAGCTGGGGCATCTGTACTCACTGGACAGTAAGAGTTGATCCCCTGGACGCTGGTGGTCCAGCTCAGTGGTGGGGACTTCTGGCAGGTGTGAGGCCCTGGGGGTGCTCACGGAGCTGGGGAGGAGGATCCGCGAGGCAGACCAGGTCTCCACCCTTGGGGACCTTACCTTTCCAGTTGGGAAGGAAAGAGGAACTGTGAGTAAGGAAATAAATAACCAGGAAATACAGTGCCAGGAAGAAATGGAAATGGAGGCATGTGCTCAGAGTGCTTGGCAGAGTCAAGGGGCTGTTGAGAGCAGAGGAAGTGACGTATGAGCTGAGAACAGAATAATAAGAAGGAACCAGTGGGGGAGGAGAGTATGGGAATGCTAGTCAGAAAGAAGAGGTGGTGCAAAGGCCCTGAGGCAGGAAGGAGTCCAGAATATTCCTGGACCAAGAATCAGTGTGGCTGGAACGACAGGAGTGAAGAAAAACAGGGACAGGAGGGATCAGTCCTGCAGGGCCCTGTAGACCATAGGAAGGACTCTGGATTTTATCTGTTCCCCATGACTTGGAGCTTTGGCAGCTTTTGAGTAGAAGCATGATGTGATAGGACCTGTGCTTTCAAGGGATCCTGTGCACTGTAGAGGCGAGAGCAAGGACAGGAATTTCAGGGTCCAGTCAGAAGATGACAGCGACTCTAGTGTGGACTGGTGTCGGGAGAAACACCCAGCCTCAGGATGGGAGATGACTGACAATGAACTAATTAGAGGGGACATTACATTTATCGTCCCATCCTCTGCATCATTGTTGAAGCCATTCTGTAGAGGTGACCTTGGTGCTCGCCACTTGGTTTCAGAGTCAGCATCTGTAACGGGACTCGGCCCACCATGACCTGGTGCCTGGTTTCGTACGGCTCATGAGCTAAGACTGATGTTTATATTTAAAAATTTTTATTTATTACTTTTAAAAATTTTATTTATTTATTTATTTTGTGGTGCTGGGGATTCAGTTTTACATTTTTTTTTTAAAGAGAGAGTGAGAGAGGAGAGAGAGAGAGAGAGAAAGAATTTTTAATATTTATTTTTTAGTTCTCGGCGGACACAACATCTTTGTTGGTATGTGGTGCTGAGGATCTAACCCGGGTTGCACGCATACCAGGCGAGCGCGCTACCGCTTGAGCCACATCCCCAGCCCTCAGTTTTACATTTTTAAATGACTGGGAAAGATCAAAAGAAGAATATTTTGTGAAAAGAATCATATTTCATGACACAAAAATCGTATGAAATTTAAATCTCAGTGGCTAGAAATAAAGTTTTATTGGCACACAGCCTGCTCATTTGTTTCCTTACCGTTTAGGGGTGCTTTCGCCCAGAGTGGCAGAGTTGAGTAGTTGGCAACAGATGCTGTCTGCCTACAGAAGTGAAAATATTTACTGTCTGGCCCTTTATGGAAGTTGGCCAACCTGTGATCTAAAGGAATTGTCCAGATACTCTCCAAAAATCAGCCGTTAGTTTTGAAGCGAGGTGCAGCCACTAGTGCTTTTCTTGGCAGATTCATTGCCTGGGAACAGGTGGTTTAGCAGTTCTGGTGTTCTATGGCCAGGTGCCATAAAGAATGCTCACATGTTCGGGGAGTGCCACTGCCATGGAGACGTGTGACTTATTCCTCTGTAGGGAACACAGGCTCCCGCCCCCATCGGTGCCTCCCCAGGGATGAGGCCTGCAGGTTGTGTCCCTAGGAGGAGGAAGCTCCCGTCAGGGTGGTGTGGAGCTTTTACAGCTCTTCCCTCTGGGAGTGTGCCAGCTCTCCTAGGACTGCAAAGCCTAGACCCGGGTAAGGGTGACTCAGGACCACTTGCCCTGGAGCCCTCTGGCCAGCTAACCAGACTCCAGCCGTCTCAGGCTGGGCAGTGGGGCCCGGGAGTCCGCATCGTAGCCAGCTCCCCAGGGGGTACAGGTGCATGTCGAAGCTGCATCACCCCCGGGCCTCCTTCCAAGACCCTCCTACCTCTGTCCCCGCCAGGCCTGGGCAGCGTCTGTCCCGACCCGCGCTCACTGGGGGCGAACTGGTCTCAGTGGATCTTTACTGCGGCACAGGGACAGGCATTCTCGCCATCCCCAGGTGACAGGTGGACACACTGAGTTCCTGAAGAATGTTAGTGGCACGTTGGGAGTTGAGTTCAGTTTGAGTTGAGACTGCTCCGGGGCTCACATCAGGGTGGGTGACACCAGGCAGAAGGGCCTCCTGGGCTACTGTGGCACAGGTACCCAACTGGGGCAGATTTGGACCTGTAGCGGGAGGAGTCCCAACAGGTGCGCCACTTAGCACTGGAGGGAGGAGTCGAGGGTCCTCTGCAGGTGGGCAAGGTCCCGGGACAGGGAGGGACAGGGAGGGACAGGGATACAGGATGAGCGAGGGCTGCCTGGCTGGCCCTGGTTCCTCTGCTCCTGCGGGTGCATGGCCCGGGGGGTGGTGCTCGGGTGGGTGGGGAGAGGCGCCCCACACCTGTGTGCTGAGCGGGGCTGGAACTGAGAGCACCTTGGGGCTCAGAGGGGCCTGGTCACCCGCCTCTCTCGGCCCTCCCCTCCCAGGGCTGCCAGCTGCGTGTGCCCCCGGCCCGCGGCCTGGGCTCCAGGACAGAGGGCGGCAGCTCTTGTTTTGCTTGTTCTTTCCCCTGGGACATCCCACCCTGGGTCACCCTGCAGCTGGAGGGCCACCTACTGATGCTGCATGGCACACAGGTGCTAGAGGCCACTCAGAAGAGCCATGGGATCCCAGGTCACCATGAGCCCCACGCGGAGTTCGCAGACTCCAGGCAGGGCCGCAGGGTGCGCGGCTTCTCCTGTTGACCACTCAGTTTGCTGTCCTTCAAATGCTCAGGGCTGAAGAGGGGGACCCAAACCATCTGGCTTTCCCTCCTGAGGTGGGGCTGAGAGGAGGGGGCGGGCCTGCCCAGCACCCCAGAAGGGACCCTGACCTCGAGCAGCCAGGAGAGCGGCCTCTGCTGCCCAGCCAGCTTGCCCCGCCAAGGCCTGTGCGGCTGCCCTGCCCGCACCTGGCCCAGCTGCCCCTGGCCTCAGAGATCCATAACTGCACCTGGGCACAGGACCCTAAGGCCTCTGTGGCCACAAGCAGTTCAAGGGGCTCATTTGGGACTCAAACACCTTCCCATGTCTGGCACCAAACGGGGAATGAGACTCAGCCGAGAATCCCAGTCCAGATGGCGGGCACACAGGGTTGGCACCGGCTGGCCCAGAGGCAGCTTGCCCCTTGACTTACCTTTCCAGCAAATCGCTGACTAGTCAGTGCCCAGAATGCTCTGCTTCAGACTCAGCTCTGTCACCCCTGCTGTGTGGCCCAGGGCAAGTGCCTTCCCCTCTCTGAACCTCAGCCACTCATCTAGCAGACGGAACCTCAACCCAGACATAGTGTTAAAAGTGAAACAACCTAAGGGAAGCTCCCAGCAGCGTCCAACTGGCAGGAGCCCCTAAAAGATGCCCAGACCCAGGGGAAGAAGAAAGGGGAAGGGGCGGCTGCTGGACTTGCGGGTCCTCCCTCCCCAGTGAGAACTGAGCAAGAGCACAGGCCACCAGATGGGTCTCCGTTCTCCTGGTGTCGGGGAGCAGGACCTGAATGGACTCGTGGGGTCCCCCAGGCACCTGGGGCTGGAGAGCAGGAGTCCTGGCCAGGGGAGTGGAGCAGCAGATGGGGTCCAGCCTCTGTCCGTGCCCAGTCTGCCCGCAGTCATGGTCCAGTGTATCTGGCCGCCAGCCTCAGGATTTAATTAAGTTAGTGACGAGCCCAGTGCATTTCTGGGGAGCCAGGAGCTGTCCCTGCTGTGGATTAATTCTTGTTTTTCCTTCTTTTTCCCCCTCTCTCTTCCCCTCCTTCTTTCTTCCCAAGGAAGAGAAAAAAAAAAGCCTTATTTATTCTCATTTCCCCACTGTTGGCATGGCAACCCAGGCATACGTTTCGGAGCTACCGGCAGCCCCGCAAGCATCCCAGCCACCGCAGGCCCCGCCCCAGCCACCACCTCCACCCCCAGCGGCGCCCCAGCCCCCCCAGACACCCACCGCCTCGGCCACCCCCCAGCCCCAGTATGTCACCGAGCTGCAAAGCCCCCAGCCCCAGGCACAGCCACCAGGCAGCCAGAAGCAGTACGTGACGGAGCTCCCGGCTGCCCCCACGCCCTCGCAGCAAGCTGGCGCGCCCACCCCGGCCCCCGCGTCCCAGCAGTACATCGTGGTCACCGTCTCTGGTAAGTCTGCTGTGCACCTGAGCCAGGGCGCTCGGGAGTGACTCTGGGAGGGGCGCCTGGGCCCGAGCACCCAGCTCTGGGGTCAGGAGGCGCTGGGGGCGGAACTGGCCTCGCGCTCCTGGGGGAAGCCGCTGCTGCCCAGCCCTGACGGCTCTGCCTGGGTCGCCTCGTCTGTGAAGGGGACCTTGTGGTTCCCATTCTCAGGGTGCTCCCGGCGGGGCTGGCCCAGAGCAGGTCCTTGGGGGGACTGGCGGGAGCCTGGAGTGTCACCTTGCCCCCTGGAGGAGCAAGACCAGGGCTGAGCCAGGGTGTGGGTCTGGCCAGCTCCTAAGTGTGGCCACCCTTGTGGCCATGGTGTCCGTAGGGCTCGGCTCCTCCCAGGGCTCCCTGGCTGAGCCCAGCTGGGAGGAGGGGCCCAGGGCAGAGGGGCCCAGGGCCGGGGCCTGGCCAGCACAGAGCTCCAGCTGCTGGCAGGCTTGTCTTCAGCTCCTTCTCGGTTTTCTTCCATTTTCTCTCACTTGCTGTGCGCTCAGCTTCTGGCTGTCGTCTCCCTGGCCCGAGCCTGTTGCGCCCGTGCCCCGGTTGTTCCCCCGGGAACTCTGGCAGCGGGGTTGTCTGGGGGCCGTGAGAGGCTTGGTGTCCGTCTCTCCCAACTCAGAGACAGGGTCTCCCTGAGCTGCTGAGGCTTCCCTGAGTTGCTGAGGCTGGCTTTGAACTCAAGACCCTCCTGCCTCAGCCTCCCGAGCGGCTGGGATCACAGCTGTGCACCATGCGTCTGGCCAGGTGCCCYTGGAGAGCTGACCCCTGGTCCTCCAAATCCTCCCCTCCAAAGGACTTTAAAAGCTCCACGCGCCCCACGCCCTCTCTAGTGGAGGCCAAGCCACTGCCTGGTTTGCCAGCCCGCCTGTTGCCGCCTGTTTCTGGCACACCTGCCCGGCCCACCGGCCCCCTGTAGCTCTGCAGACCCGCAGGCTCAGTCCTGCCTCCTGGCCTGGGCCTGGCGGCGCCTCCCCCTGTAGCACTGGGCCCGGACCTTGGCCTTCGGCCTCCTTCAGGTCACTGGGTGGAAGCCCCGCCCCTCCCCACTTCACCTCCCCCTTGCACACTCACCCTTGGAAGTGCCAGGACCGTGGTGAGGCCGACCATCCTGACTCCCTGAGGGCAGGGTCTAGTCTGAAGTCTTTGTGAAGGACCGGGGAGTGTGCCTGACCTAGAGCAGGGACAGCTGGACGCCTGGCGTGGCCCCCGGGTGGCCAAGAGCAGGCGGGAGACCACCGCCTCCACTGGAGCTCTGCCCAGCCCTGGGGGCCCCTGGCTGGCCTTGTCCTCCTCCTGGATGAGGGTCCTTCCCGGCAGTTGGGCTCTCCGGGGTGAAGGTCTGGGGGAGGCCTGTGGCCTCGGGCCCCAGAACACCCGTCGTCCTTCCTCTGGCCTCAGTGTGTCCAGCTTGTCTTGGCAGTCCTCCAGGGAGGCCCCAGTCCCTCAAGGTCAAGGTCACCATGAGGTCTTCCAGTCAGACAGACCCAGGAGAAGGCTGGGGGAGATGGCCTCCATCCCTGCCACCCTGGTGGCATGCTCTGGGTGCTGTGTACCCGCGAAGGCAGAGAGCAGGGAACCAGCCTCCGTGCCATGCCCCCAGCCTCCTTGGGTCGGGCTGTGAGTGGGGAATCCCGTTTCCTGCTGGTCCAGGTTCCTGCGGGTGAGCCTGCCCCGGCTGGGTCGCTGGGCAAAGCTTCCTCCATTTGTTCTGAGGAAGAGGAGTTGGCTGGCACCCTGCCCTCAGCCACTCCCCCTCACCAGCTTGGCATCCCGTGTCATCTCAGAGTGGCCTGGGCACGTGAGCCGGCCCCTGGGCAGGAGTGGAAGCCGACACCAGCGAAGGCTGTGGGAGGCGCTGGGCTGCTCTGGAGCCAGGAGCAGTGGAGCTGCCCGGGAGTCCATGCGGGCGGGGCGCGGAGGTCCCGGGCCAGGCCCGGACGCAGGCCAGAGGCAGCCTGTCCAGCTGGGCCTGGCGTGCTCTGCTCTGAGGTGACTCTGGAGGTGAGGGCAGGAAGCTCGAGTTTCCCTGGTCTGGAGCAACCCTGGCCACAATCCCCTCCTCAGCCACCGCGGACATCACCCAAAACCTGTGACGGGTGCCTTGGCGCCCGCCTGCAGCCCAGCTACGCAGGAGGCTGAGGCAGGAGGATCACAGGTTCAAGAGCAGCCTCTGCAGCTTTGTGAGACCCTCAGCAACTTAGCAAGACCCTGTCTCAGAAAATAAAACGTCCCGGGAAGGCAGCTCCGTGGTTCAGTCCCCAGCGCCCAAACCAAGCCAGACCTGGGGTGGAAGCAGGATGCTGTGGGCTCTGGACGCTGGCAGGAGGGTGGCGCCAGGCTGCTGAAGTAGAGACGGGCGGCCCCAGGGAGGACCAGGCCAGCCTCCCTCCTCTGCTCTCCCACTGGCCTTCCTTGGAGTCCTGTCCCGAACAGGGGAATGAAGGGTGCTTGTCCGCATCCCCGAGTACAGAGGGGCAGACACAGGGCAGACAGGACACACCCGGGAGCAGCGGAGTCCCAGAACTGCCCCCCCAAGGCCCCTGTGGGAAGTCATCCCCGGAGCCAAGGAACGGGAGGGACGGGGCCAGCTGGCTTTGTTGCTCGTGGGGAAGGGGGGCTGGGCCAGCAGGGGCACCAGGGTTCCAGCCTGACCCCGGCCTCTGAATGTCTCTGGTCTGCCCAGGAGCTCACTGCTCACTCCAACAGGTGAGGAGGAGGAGGGCTGCACCTGGAGGCGCCGGCCTGGGGAGGGCAGCCCCTCCTCGGCTCAGAGACAGGAAGCCAACGGTGCTTCCCCGGCCTCCTAAACATGCCTGGAATGGAGGTCACGACTCCATGTCCCCCAGCCCCCTTCCCCTCCTGGCCCCCCTCCCCCACACATGGTGAGGGAGAGACTGAGCCCTGGCCACAGGTGGACAGGGACCGCACACAGGGAGCCCCTCAGCTGAGGAGCAGACTCACCCGCCCACATTTCTGTGCGACCCGACCCCTCGTGCCTACTGGCCTGGCCAGCAGAGGGTGGGGGAGGATCCCAGCGATCCAGCCCTATGGGCCACCCAGACGCAGGACACAGGCCCGATGATCTCAGCAGGTCTCAGGTCTGCAGCCTCACAGGGTCCTGCTCCAGGATCAGCCCCACGCCCAGCACCCGCTTTGCTGCCCACACTGAGCCAGGCAACGCCGTGGCGCCTCTCTTGTGCTGGGCTGGCTCCCCGTGCCCCATGGACATCCAGGTGTGCCAGGCCTTCACGTGACCCGGGGCCGGCTCGGGTTTCTCTCAAGGGGCCGCTCAGGGAAGCCTCCTGCACGGCGCAGGGAGAGGAACGCAGACTTGAGGAAGGTTCCAGCAAAACAGCCGTCCGAGCCACCTGGACTTGGCTGCCCAGGCAGCTGTCCCCACAGGGTTGGGACTGTCCCAATGCCAGCCCCACGTGTAGCCACAGGGAGGCTCCCCCAACACCTGGCAGCCCTCGCCCCCCACTCACACACGTTCTCTGCCGTGGCCTTGGCCTTGGGGTGCTTGAGTCCACGTAGAGGCCCTCCTGCTCTGCTGGGACGTTCTCTTTTGTTCCCCACAGCTGAGGACCAGCCCCCCACTTTGGAGCATGAGCCCCACCGGCCCCACCCTGGGATGCCCTGCACCTGAGGTGCCCGTGGGTTCCCAGCTCGCCGAGCCCCGGGTCCGCGTCCGCACACCACCCCCGGCGCCTCGGCCCAGCAGAACCAGCGACTCTGGGTTCTGCATATGGTGTGAAGTTCCTGTGGTCACAGAGAGGCCTGTGTCCTGGCCTGCTGGTCCCCAGCTGGTGACCTTGAGCAGGCCACTTCCCTTCCGCCTCTGTTGCCTTACTGAGAACAGTGGGGAGAGCGCTGGGCCCCAGCTGCCCCGGGAGCCGGGCATCACCCCCACGGCAGCAGCCTGAGTGTCTGAGGCCGAGGATGCTGCTGGGGAGGACGCTGTGGCCCTCTCGTCTCGTGGGGGATGGGTGGCCTCTCTGACTCCCCGGGCGAGTCCCCTAGGAAGGGGGGCTGGGGCCTGACTCCTTCTGGCATCCATGGTCCTCCCCCATATCACCTCGGCCTCTGGGGCTGCTGGGGGCAGGACAGGTGAGGGTCTCCTGGCCAGGGCCCCTCAGGGACGCTGTTCCTCCCTGCCCCCCTGTGGCCCCTGTTAATCACTCAGCAAGATGTGCATGAAATCCGACCTGCGCTTGCCTGATAGCATCTCCGGGTACCAGCCTCCCTCCTGCCCCGACCTGCCCCCGCCCCGCAAAGGCCCTTCTCAGGCAGCCCACGGGGAGGGGAGTGTACCCAAGAGGGCACACGGGAGCCTGCGTCCCTCGGGGGATTAGCTCGCCAAGGTTGTGGGTATAAAGCTGCCTGTGCGCCCTGCTGTTCCTACAGAGGCAGGCCAGGAGGGAGGGCCAGCGGGCGGCCCTGGACAGACAGGCACAGGGGCAGGGAGCGGGCAGGCGGGCACCATGTTCTATGATTGCCTCTTCTTAGCTGCCTGTCAGCGTGAGTACCCTTCGTCCAGCTCCAAGCCCCTTGCACCCCTCCTGCCCCTCAAGGTCAGCGAGGCTGGGCGGAGCCCCTGGCTGTGGCCTCTACTGTGGCCAGCTGTCTCCTGGGAAGCCGGGATGGTGCTGGGGAAGGTGGGCCAGCACTTGGTCCTCCTAGAACTGCCAGAAGAAGGGTGGTCAGTTCACTGTCTGCCCGGGCCCTGCCTTTGGGGAACAGGGCCAGCCTCGACTTCTGTGGCCTCGTGGCCCCCAGCACCCTGTCTGGTTCAGCTTCTGGATAAGAAGGGTCAAGGGTTGCTTCCAGGTGTTAGAGGTCCCTGGGTGCTGTCTAGCGCCCACCCCACCCCGGAAGGGCACTGCCAGGGCTGGCCAGGGGAGCGGCAGGGCTCTTGGAGAAGCCTGCCTGGTGGGCTGGGCTCCAGCTTGCGTCCTGCCCTCCAGGTGGCTTAGGCTCCCTGTGGGCGCAGAGTTGATCTGGTGCCCCCTCCCCCACAGAGGGTGCCATGCGAGCCAGTGAGACGGTGTCAGAAGCCAGCCCGGGCTCCACAGCCAGCCAGACCGGCGTCCCCACTCAGGTGGTTCAGCAGGTGCAGGGCACCCAGCAGGTAGGATGGGGGACAGGCCTGCAAGGGGACAGTGCAGGTTGGGTTCTCTGGGGCCTTGCCTTCCGTCCATCAGGACATCTGCTCACTGTTCTTATCAAGATGGGCACCTCAGCCCCCCAGGGATGCGCATGTCAGCCGCCCCCCCATGTGCATGTCAGCCCCCCAGGGATGTGCATGTCAGCCGCCCTCCCCACAGGGCTGGGCCTCCCGGGGAGCTGGCCCGGCTCAGCTCCTCACACTTTGACCCCCAGCGCTTGCTGGTGCAGACCAGTGTGCAGGCCAAGCCGGGCCACGTGTCACCCCTCCAGCTCACCAATATCCAGGTGGCCCAGCAGGTAAGCCTCCCACCGTTAGCCCCCCCCAGGGTGGGAAAACAGCCCCTGTGGCCTGCTTGGCCCAGTCCTTGCCAGGATTGAGGACACCGGCCCCATCCTGAGGCTTCCCCACCTCCTGGCTCTGGGTGGTGGGGTCCACAGGGTGGGGTGCCATCAGGGAGCAGAGCCTGGCCATCTTACTAGAGCAGTGAGGGTAGTGGGGAAGGGTAGCGGGCCAGCAGGGGCCAGCCGCAGCGTCCTAAAGCAGAAAGCCCCAGGAGCCCAGGGCAGCAGGGAGGGCGTCTGTCCTCCGGAAGGCCGCATTTGGGATGCCAGGGCTCACCCCCATTTCCCATTGATCAACACAGAATTGGACAAATTCTATTGGATATGTATGTGTGTGAGGTCCTGGGGAGGGACTCAGGGCCTTGAACATGCTGGGCCAGCGCTCTAGCCCTGAGCCGCACCAAGGATGAGATCACGCTTGGCCTGGGCTCAGCTGGGCCTCGGGTCCACACTCTACACTGCCACTTCCTGGATCTGCGACCTCAGATGATCACTCGAACCTTCCTGAACCTCAGTGTCACCCCCTTGAAGTGGGGCAGTGACTGCTGTGTGGGGCTGTCAGTGAGTCCATGGGCTGAGAGGCAGAGAACACTTAGCCACCACCTGGCACCTCTCAGGTGCTCGGGAGAGCCCCGGGCTGCCAAGGGTGATGGGCTTCCCTCTTTCCCCCGGCTCCAGGCTCTCCCCACACAGCGTCTGGTGGTGCAGAGCACAGCGCCAGGCAGCAAGGGTGGCCAGGTGTCCCTGACAGTCCACGGTACCCAGCAGGTGCACTCGCCTCCTGAGGTAGGTGGTAGCTCCTTAGGACACTTGAGGTTCCCTTGCTGTGAGCCTGCTCCTTCCTCTGCAGTACTCCTGCCCTCCCACTCCTTCACTGGCCTCGTGGCTCTGGGCTGAGCTGCCATGGGGTCTGGCTGTAAGGGGGGGGGTAGCCTCCCGGGGTTGAGGTGGCCTCTGCAGGTCCTGCTCAGGGGATGGCATCACAGGACACAACAGGGCTTCCTTTTCCATCTGCAGGGTGGGTGGAACCCCTTCTGAGAGTTTGGAACCACGTGGTAGATTCTGGGGACCACACACATCAGTGAGGGCTGGGGACAGTCAGGAGGCCTGGAGCACCGGCCCCAGCATCAGGGGCTTGGGGCCAGGGCCTGTCTCCGCTGTTGGTGCTGCTGGACCTCTAGGCAGGACTTTGAGCCTCGGGAGCCCAGGGCTGTCTGTGTATGAGAGATGGGCAGCCAGGCATGAGGGGGCACACCTGTAATTCCAGCGACTGGGAGACAGATAGGAGGATCTCAAGTTCAAGGTCAGACTCAGCAACTTCGTGAGGCCCTGTCTCAAAATAAAAAACAGAGAGGGCTGAGGGTGTAGCTCAGGGGTAGAGGCTCCAGGGTTCAATCCCTAGTCCTGGGTGGCAAGGGAAGAGCTGTCCACTGCCCGTCAGCTGCTGTGGGAATGACAGCCCAAGCCTGGCGCAGAGCAAACGGGCTTTGTAGCCAGCCCACCTGTGTGGCCCTGGGCGTGTCCTTCCCCCTCTGCCTCCACTAGGAAGCAGGGATGCTGTGGGATCCTGGTGAGTAAACATAAAGCGCTCAGAGCAGCACCTGGTGGGACTCGGCACATTGTCTGTAGGTGCTACTGTCATTACTGTGACTTTGGAGAATTGGCCTCAGGAGAGCCTCCGAGGGCTGATTTAGGGGGTGGCTTCCATGGCCCAGCCAGACTTTCCCAGCCATAATCTCTGTCGGGTCAGGGCTCCAGCTCCTCTGGAGAGAGCAGGTGGCCCCTGACTATGACCAGCACCCCTGAGCTGAACCCTCTCCTGGGGGTGACCAGGACTGACACAGGCCGAAGCATCTGGATGCACGAGTAGAGCCTGTGATCGACGTGGGTGGTGGGACAGACACCACCACCTGCTGCCCTCTCCACAGAGCCCTCCTGAGAAGGGGGTTGGGGCCCAGGTTTCCCAGAGATGCCCAGAGCTCAACCTGACCTCACCGTGTCTCCTTCCCTTGCAGCGGTCGCCGGTGCAAGCCAATAGCTCCGCCAGCAAGACGGCTGGGGCCCCCACGGGCACAGTGCCCCAGCAGCTTCAGGTTCATGGTGTCCAGCAGAGTGTCTCCGTCACCCAAGAGGTGCCTGGCCAAAGCGGGCAGCAGCCAGGGCCAGGGGTCGCAGCCAGCTGGCCTCTGCAGCCACCTGTGGCTGTGCCTCTGGCCTGTTAGAGCCAAACACGCAGAGGTCCAGAGCCGACTAGCACCTCCACCTCTCCAGATGCAGTGTCCTGGGGTGGGGGGCTGCGCTGAGGGTGAAATGCAGACCCTGCAGAAGGTGCCGTGGGCGGGGCAGCCGCAGACCAGCTTCAACAGTCCACTTTGGTCTATGGGGATCTGTTTGCCCAAGTCTCGGCGCATTCACAGGTCTCAGGCAGAGGCCCTAGTTTCCAGGTCCGTGCCCAGCCTTCCAGGGGAGCCCGAGCTCTGAGCTACAGCCACAGCAGTGGGGGAGGTTGAGGGCAAGAGTCATCTGCTGTCTGTTGTGATTGTTCAACTCAGGGGTTCCTGGCCCCTCATAAATCAGATGAAGCTGGGCACCATGGTGTTTACCTGTATATGATGCTTAGGAGGTTGAGGCAGGAGCTCATTTGAGCCCAGGAGTTCAAGGCCAGCCTGGGCAACATAGGGAGATCCTGTCTCTTAAAAGCAAAGCAAAATAAAACCAAACCAGAAAAACAAACAAACAAACACACACAAATGGAAGCCATAAGCTCCCAGAGAAAATTGGAAACCCCATCTAGAGGATTCACAGATTTTTTTCCCTGCCCAGTGCCAGAGCCCCTCTAAATCTCCAGACCTGGGTTCAAGTCTCAGCCCCACCACTTAGCACCAGCCGCCTCCCTCCAGCCACTGATCCCTAGTAAGGACAGCTTACTGTGTCCTTACTGAAGTATAGGCACCAAAGATAAACCAGGTCCGTGCACTCCTGAAGGACCTGCAGAGAGGGGGGAAGAGTAGAGACCCCCCACCGCCTTGGTCCCAGATCCAGTGCCTGCCCGTGCCACCACCTCCTGGCAGCCTTACCCCGCTGGGCCTTATTTCCTGGGCCTTTAACTGGGTGCCCAGAGGCAAGGCAGTGGTGAGCCTGGACGTGCGGAGCTGGGCCCAGCAGCAGAGTTACTCTGCTTTGGCTGGAGAACGGTGCGTGTTTTCCTTAGTGGCTGTGGTGAGGTTTAGGTAGGTTCACTGTATAGAGGATGGGGACTTATCTGGCCGCCATCGTGGCCATGGATACCGCAGCCTCACTTGTCTTCTCTTTCCCTTCCTTTCCCAGAGGTCTGTGGTCCAGGCCACCCCGCAGGCACCCAAAGCGGGCCCCGTGCAACAGTTGACCGTGCAGGGACTTCAGCCAGTCCACGTGGCTCAAGAGGTAGGTGCCCCCCCAGGTAGATGGGGGGTGCAAAGTGGGGCTGGTCTCCTGTGAGGGATGGGAACGCAGGTCCCTGCCCCAAAGGGGGGTAATGGAACCTCCTGGGGTCCTCAAGGACAGAAGGCTCCAGGTCTGGCTTCAGCCTGCACCCGTCTGTGGGCTGCAGATCCGTCCTGAATCAGCCCCCTTTCCCGGCACCTCAAGCCCAAGTTTTGCTAAGAGAGATCTGGATTCAAATGCCACTTCTTTCTAGCCTGGGTCCCTTCCCCCTCTCCGCCCTGAGGCGCTGGGCGGGACTGTCGCCTGGGTTGCTGCCTGTGTGCGCATTGCAGCCTGGTGGGCTGCGAGGCCCGCAGCCCCGCCCGCGGCCGGACCCAGTGACGCCCCAGTATCTCTGTTTGTCCTCCAGAGCTCAGACAGTCAGTTTCCCGCTAGGAAGGCAGAGCAGCGAGAGCCCCGGCCCACGCCGCAGCCAGAGCCGCCACCCCGGCCGCCCACCCCCGGGCTCGGGCCAGGCGCGCTGGTCCCGGAGCCGCCGCCACTCCCATCGGTGTGCAGCGGCGAGGCCCGGCAGCTAGGCAGCCCCGAGCCGCAGCTGACCCATTACGAGCCAGGCGTCGAGCAGTGGGTGGAGCTGGTGGGCGTGCTGCCCCCGCACCTGCTCCTGCCGCAGCAGAAAGTGGTCCTCGAGCCCCTGCCCGGGCTCTCAGCCCGAGCCAGCCCCGACCAGAGGGTCAGGATCCAGAGAATCCCCCAGGTGCTAGTGTTCAGCACGGCCGCCACGGCCCTCAAAGTAGGTGGTGGACGCACGGGCGGGGGGCAACGGGGGGCGGGGGCATACCCCGGCTGCCCACCAGGCCCCTCAAGCCCTGTAGACCCCACCTCCGCCCTGAAGGTCGGTCTAAGAGCCCACCTCCAACATCCCAAAGCGGGTGCCAGGTCCTAGGCTCCATCCCTGCAGATCAGGGTGGGGGTGGAGGTGGGATACTGAAGCCCCGCTCCTGAGGCACTCTCAAGTCATTGAGGTTCTGTCGGGCAAACTGGCCCCAGGCCCCGCCCCTAACATCCTGTGCTGGGCTAACAGGCCCCGCCCCTGGGGCCATGTGTAGTTCCAAGCTCTGGCTTTAACTACACCTTGTCCCCATGCTTGGCCCAGCCCCGAGGCCTACCCTTCTGGTCCACCGTCTGACCTGCCTGGGCTCCCCTGTTGCCCATCAGCAGGCCCCACCCTTGCCGTCTCCAGCAGAAGCAGAGTGTCTTGGCGATCCTCCCGATACAGCTCTTCCTGATTCCCAGCCCCAGCTGAGGCTGTAGCCCCCATCAGGGTGTGGTGTTTAGAGAACCCAGATGTGCACCTCCTAGTCAGTGACCTGGCCTCCGGGAGAGCTTGAGAACCGCCAGCTCCACAAGGCAGAGGCCGGAGCCACCCCTGACCCTGCCGCCTTCCTCCTGCCCAGGTGCAGCAGCTCCAGCAGGTCCCAGTGCCACATGTGTACTCCAGCCAGGTCCAGTACGTGGAGGGCGGCGACGCCAGCTACGCGGCCAGCGCCATGTAAGTGGGCAGGGGCACAGGGAGGGCAGCGCAGGGGCGTAGGTCTGCTCAGGACTCCAGGCCTCAGGTGACAGCTAGGTGGGTACCACCCAGGGGCAGCCAGCAGCCCACGGCATGCCAGAGCAGAGGGAATCTGGCACCCCAGCCAGCGCAGGGCTTTGGGCCTCAACCAGCCTGGCCTTTAGAGGTAAAAAAAAAAAAAAAAAAAAAAAAACAAAAAAGAAAACAAAGTGCCTACATACACACACACATATTTTTACAAGATAGAAAGTTCCTGTGTGTTAGGGACATTAACAGTGAAGAGGTGACTTGGATCCTGGCCGCCCCACCCTGCCCAGGGTGACCTGTTTCTTTGTTCCTCCCAGAGATTCTCCAGGAATAGAAACTGTTCCTTCCTTTCTTCAGAAGTGGAGGCCGGGTCTGTCTCACTTCTTTGCCCAGCCTGTCCTTGGCCCGCCCCTGGCTCCCCCATTTGTGCACATGGGTCCCTCTTGGCTTCTTGAACACTGCCCAGCACTCCTCTGTACAGGTGTCCCTGGTCCCCAGGCAGCCGATACACCGGTGTCTCTGCCAGGTACTGCACAGGGGCCAGTGTCCTGTCCCAGAGCAGCCTCCGGGGGCCGACTCCTGGTGGAGGCCGACTCCTGGTGGAGGCCCTCCACGGCCTCTCCCTCCCCCATCCTCCAAGCAGTAGTGCCGCGGCTAGATTGCTGCTGCTGTTTCAGTTTCTAGAATTTCCATTTGGTTTTCTTTTTATTCGTCTGATTTTTTTCTTTCGTCCTTGCCACCTGTCCTTGCGGGCACCGTGCTGGGATCGGATTAGCTCAGAGAGTGACTCTGTCCTTGGGTCATGACGCTCTAACTGACCCTGAGGAGTGTGGTCCTGGCACCTGAATTGCCATCAGTTTGTTTCTGGTGCTGCTGTCTCCATGTGCAGCTGACCCCAGCGSCCGGGGCCAGGGGGCCCCATTCCCAGGAGGAGGGCTGCCCCCAGGCCCGCCTCGCTGTTAGCCACAGAGAGGGCCCTGCGCCTGGCCTGGCTCCTTCTGGGGGCACTTTCCTTGGCTTCTGCCTGGACTTCTCCCTCCCATGGAACTCACGGCTGCTGTCGCATTCTTCTGCCACGTGAAGTTCTTGCTTTGGGTGTGTCTTTTTTCTGTCCCTCCTGGCAGACTGTCACCAGGTTCCCAGCCCTCTGCCAGCATGGATCTCCACGCTGGCCACAGCCGCGGCCCCTGGGCTTCCATCCCTGGCTTTGGACATTAATTTATCTGTTCATTTAGCAAATATCTACCAGCGCAGCGCTGTGTGCATGTGGTGCTGGACGGAGCCCGGGGTGCCCACGGTCTAGAGCCACTCTTGACCCCCGCTGAGCTGCCTGCCCAGCCCCACACAGCATTTCTGGAGCATGTGTTGCCTGTGGGGCCCTTGGCTGGGCCCTTGGCTGGGCCGTGGCCCTGGGGAGGAGGCACGTGCTCCTGGCATTACTCTGAGGCAGACGTGGGCCTCGGTGATCAAGAGCTGGACCCTGGTGTCCAGTGAGCAGACCACTCACCTTGGGTGATGGAGCCGCCCCGCCTCCTACCAACCTCCTCTCACTTCCCTGGCCCTGCCCGTGGAACTGACCCGAGGGCGTTGCTGGTACAGTCCCCAGCATACAGTAGGCACTCACTGCATGCATATCAACATGCCGGGAACCAGCCCAAGGTTGCAAATTTCGTTTTGTTTCTTCGGCTAGTTCTTGGTAGGTGGCCGTGTGTCGCAGGTGACCCAGCCCATGTAGCTCAGCTTCCTCGCTTTCCGAGTGGGCGGTGACCCTGGCACTGAGGGCTGCCCCATGGTTCCGTGAGAACCTGCCCATCAGGCCCGAGGACGCTGCCGTCAGTAGGAGGGAAGGGGTGGCGCTGGGGACTGCTGCGTCCCTGGCCCCCTTCTGGGACCTCCTCCCCTCCCACAGGACCGTGCCCCTCGGCCACCCAGCTCTCCCCACCCTGGCCCTCACGCCCACCCCCTCTGCCTCTCCCAGCCGCTCCAGCACCTACGCCTACCCCGAGGCCCCGCTGTACACACAGCCGGCGGGCACCAGCTACTACGAGGCCGCAGGCACGGCCACCCAGGTCAGCTCACCGGCCACCTCCCAGGCGGTGGCCAGCAGCGGCTCTGTGCCCATGTACGTGTCCGCCAGCCAGGTGGTGGCCAGCTCCACCAGCAGTGGGGGTGGGGCCAGCAACGGCAGCGGAGGAGGTGGCGGAGGCGGCGGCGGGGGAGGCGGCGGCAGCGGGGCTGGCAGCGGTGGCAGTAGTAGCGGCAGCAGCAGCAGCGGCGCAGGCACCTACGTGATCCAAGGCGGCTACATGCTGGGCAGCGCCAGCCAGTCCTACTCCCACACCACCCGTGCCTCGCCAGCAACGGTAAGTGCCTGGCAGGAGGTGCGTACCCGGGCAGAGGTAGTGGGCATTGGAGCTGGTCCCTGGCAGTGGTTGCTGGCCACCATTAGTAACCTGGTACGGCAGTGCCTGTGTGCGCTCGCCACGGGATGGAATCCTCACTGTGTGACCTCTCACAAGTTACTCAGCCTCTCTGAGCCGTGGCAGATACGTGTGAGGCCCTTGGAGTGGTGCCCAAAGAAGTGTCACCTCTTCTGAGTGTCACTTGACAATAGAGGATGGATGGTAGTGAAGGGAGAGGCAGGCACCCTCACCCGGGAGCTGTGAAGAGTCCCTGAAGTCCGCCCACAGGGCCCCTCGCGCATGACGGGCGTGCTTCCGGGTCCCCCTTAGGCACAGGTGCAGCCTGACTTCTGACCTCCTTTTTTTCCACGTCTACTTTTTAAAACGCTGGCTGTGACCACCTGGGGGTGATGCTCTCTCCGGGCGCCCCTTCCTCACACGCTTAGGTTTGGGGAGACCACCCTTGGCCAGCGCTGGGGCTGCGGGRGAGCTCCACGGTTGAGCGGGGACGCGCGTCCTTGGGTCCCTCCCCTGCACCRAGGGACCACACAGAGCACCCTGACTGTCCCCTGCGCACCTCCCTCCTGGTGTCCCATTCCTCTGCCGCGTTGTCGAGGACACTTTCCAGATGGAGTCACGCCTCATGACCATGGTGCCAGCTCATCTCCCGCCGACTTTGTGTCTCAGTGGCTCCGTGTGGCCCGTGGCACCTGGCCTGGGYGGCGCAGTTCCCTGGGGGGACTGGGGGAGGACGGGGACTGATGTGGAGCACTCAGCCSCTGCCACCTAAAAAGTGGAAGCGACCCTCAGTGGTGTCCCCGCTGCCCCTCCCGCCCAGGTCCAGTGGCTCCTGGACAACTATGAGACGGCGGAGGGCGTGAGCCTGCCCCGCAGCACCCTCTACTGCCACTACCTGCTGCACTGCCAGGAGCAGAAGCTGGAGCCCGTCAACGCCGCCTCCTTCGGCAAACTCATCCGCTCCGTCTTCATGGGGCTGCGCACGCGTCGGCTCGGTACCAGGTGGGGTTCCTGTCCCCAGCTGTCCTTGGGCTGTGAGGTACACCTCAGCCACAAGACCAGCCAAGATGAGGTGCCGGGCCTTGCATCCTCGTCTGTGCGCAGGGCAGTGGGGACCACCCTCCCCAGTGCGTGGCGGGTAGGGTGCGCCTGTGCGCTTAGGGCATTGTGCGTTGTTAGCRCCAGTGGTCAGCAAGCACTTGGCTGGCGCCTGCGGCCCTGTGTCAGGATGGGGGGTGAGCAGAGAACCAGACCCCGGCCCTGTCCCGAGAGGCCTCAGTCAGCAAGTGGGGGCCTCTGCTGGTACCCACAGCCCTGTGTGTCCCCTGTGCGTTCCCAGGGTGCTGGCCCTGGCTCAGCGGCACACATCTCCAGGTAGCCCCCGGGGAGCCAGAGTCAGAGTCTGGCACGGGGCTCCCAGGGCCGGCCCTCACCCTCGGCTTCCTCCCAGGGGCAACTCYAAGTACCACTACTACGGCCTGCGCATCAAGGCCAGCTCGCCCCTGCTGCGGCTGATGGAGGACCAGCAGCACATGGCCATGCGGGGCCAGCCCTTCTCCCAGAAGCAGAGGTAGAGGAGGGGACACCAGGAAAGCCACCCCACCCAGACGCCCGCCCCCACAGCGGGCCCACCTGCCCCCTCTCCCGCAGGCTGAAGCCCATCCAGAAGGTGGAGGGCGTGACCAACGGGGTGGCCGTGGGGCCGCAGCAGGCCGTGGGGCTGTCCGACATCAGCGCCCAGGTGCAGCAGTACCAGCAGTTCCTGGGTGAGCCTCCCGGCAGGGCGGGGCCATGCTCAGGGGCTCGGGCTGCCTCTGCTGGGGTCGGTTACCCTGGTTCTGTGCCCAGAAACGTCCCCAAGGCAGAGCCCCGTTCCTTCCAACAAGGGAGCGTTTCTCTAATCCGCCACGCTGCGAGGGGTTCCAGATCCCAGGCCAGTGGCGCAGCAGCTCTGGGGGCCAACCCAAATGTCAGCCTGTGGACTGGAGGGGCAGGCTCCCTGCTGCCCGCCCAGAGCCTTCGTGACGAGGTGGTGGCACCCCTCCAGCTCTCCRGAGTGCGGCACCCAGGGTTTCCAAACACCAAGACAAGAAAACCAGCCCCTTAAAGCGGCTCAGGGATGCTCCTGGCACCCAGGAAGCCCCAGAGCTTCGTGTGTGCCTGTCACGCCTCTGTGACAGTGGCATGTGGTGGCTGCTTTCTGGCTCTTACTCATGCAGCCCAGGCACCTGGCCTGGGTGGCGCAGCTCTAGGATGTCCTGTGGCACGCAGTTCCCTGGGGGGACTGGGGGAGGACGGGGACAGATGTGGAGCACTGTCGCAGAGGGGCGGGAGGCCGCCTGGCAGAGCYGGGGTATCCTGGAGTGATCTCCATGAACAGCCCCACACTGGGCCCTCGGGCTCTGGGTGGCATCCCTGGAGTCCTGACTAGGCCCTGGTGGCCAGCTCCTGGTGGTCAGGTGGGTACTAGGAGCCAGCCTGGACTCAGTCCCCTGTCCCAGGGGCCGGCCCAGGGATGGCCCTTAGCAGACCAGCCAGGGCCAGCGGGAGCCTTTGTTCCGGGGACTGAGACCCTGGGCAAGGTGCTTGCCCTCCCCGAGCTTTGTCATCCTTTGTAYATGGGGGTCCCCTCCTTGGGGAATTGGTGACAACCCCGTAGGATGCCAGGGAAGGCCGGGAGGCGGGAAGGCCAGGGGCACAGGCCTCATTCTGTGCACCCCCCAGATGCCTCTCGGAGTCTCCCCGACTTCACTGAGCTTGACCTCCAGGGCAAAGTCCTGCCCGAGGGCGTCGGGCCGGGGGACATCAAGGCCTTCCAAGTCCTGTACCGGGAGCACTGTGAGGTAGGGCAGCTGGAGGAGCCCGTGGRCAGGGGAGGACCGTGCTGCCCGCTGCCCCCGAGCATCCCGCCCGCCTCCCCACAGGCCATCGTGGACGTCATGGTGAACCTGCAGTTCACGCTGGTGGAGACGCTGTGGAAGACCTTCTGGAGACACAACCTCAGCCAGCCCAGCGAGGCCCCGGCACTGGCCGTGTGAGTCCTCACRTGAAGAGGGAGGGGTGTGGCCCTTGCGGTTTGTGTGAGTGCCCTGGACCCCCACGGCCCATGTGTGTCTGACACCCAGAGCACGGGAGCTGGGCACCGGGCAGGGCAGCCCCTCCGCCCTGGAGGAGACCCCAGTGTACAGAGCCCAGGAGCCCCGTCAGCCTGTGGCCTTGAGGCCCGAACCAGCCTGGCCCTGGGCGTCCGCAGGAGGCAGGAAGTGCCSAGCCAAACCCCAGTCGGCAGTGGCTGGCTGGTCCCTCCATCGTTCTGGGCACAGGACCTTGGAGCACCCGTGTGACCTGGGGTGGGTGCCCGCAGGCACGATGAGGCTGAGAAGCGGCTGCCCAAGGCCAGCCTGGTGCTCCTCTCCAAGTTCGAGCCTGTGCTGCAGTGGACCAAGCGCTGCGACCACGCGCTGTACCAGGGCCTGGTGGAGATCCTCATCCCTGACGTGCTGCGGCCCATCCCCAGTGAGTGTGCGGCCCGCCCCGCCCCGCCCCGCCCCGGAGTGCGCCCCTCCCTGACCGCCCCCCCACTGCCCGCAGGTGCCTTGACCCAAGCGATCCGGAACTTTGCCAAGAGCCTGGAGAGCTGGCTCACCCACGCCATGGTGAACATCCCCGAGGAGATGCTGCGGGTGAAGGTGAGGCCGGGCCGCTCCTCCCGGCTCTGGGGCCGCGGGCTTCGCTCTCCTGGGCTCCACAGGGGCTGAAGACTTGTCCCCACACCTGTCCTGGGGAGGACGGGAGTGCACTTGGGGAACCTGGGGCCTCAGGGAGGACTCAAGGGTCGTCTTGTAGAGCAGCTTCCTCCAGTGCCCACTGCCGAGACATGACCCCTCGCAGCAGTGAGGACTTTAACATCTTAAAAATGTATGAACCAAGCCAGGCCCAGGGCGCACCCGCCRCCCCAGGGACTGGGGAGACTGAGACGGAGGATCGTGCAAGGCCCCTGGGCAGCTCATGTAAGACCGTCTCAGAAAATCAACAGGCCTGGGGTGTGCTCAGCCATGGAGCACCTGGGCTCCATCCCTAGGGTRGCAGAAAATTAAGATAAAAACCAAATATGAATTTGCAGTAGTTGTCTTCAGACAACCTGGTGAGAAAGCACTTCTTGTGTTCAGAGTAGAAGAGACTTTTAAACAGACAGTGTCTGTAAGGAAAGGGTGAGCGCCTTTCCATCAGTGCTGCACGTTCATTAACTACTCAGGTGCAAGGGATGAGGCGGCATGTGCTGGCTTTTGGGCAAACAGCATAGAAGCTAAACAAACTCCATATCTGCTTCCCCCCCTCCGGCCGGCGCCCCCAGTGCAGTGTGTCCAGCCTAGGGTCATGTGCAGGCGGGTCAGGGTGGGGGAGGGTATGCCAGGTAAGTGGGTGGCAGGAGGAAGCCTTCAGAACTGGCAAGACTCATAGGCTTGTTCGTTCAACATGCATTTATTGAGCACCTACTGTGTGCTCGGCTTGCTTCTCAGTGCTGGAAGGATAGCACTGAACAAGAGGGACAGTCACCCTGCCCTCCTGGAGCTRAAATCAAGGGTACAATAACCAAAAAATTAAAAAGTCTAAGAAATGTGGTGCCCTTTCTGGGCGGTGCCCTCTATATATTCCATTGTTTTCTTTCCTTAAAATAACAACAATGGGCTGGCTGGGGACCGCAGCCCCGATTCCAGAGGCTGAGGCAGGAGAACCGCAAGTCCAGGCCAGCCTGGCCAATTTAGTGAGAAGATTAAAGGGCAGGGGTGGGGGAGGGCGCTGGGGAATCCCGCTTAGTGGTAGCCTGGTGGCCTGGGTTCAGTCTCCAGTACCAAAAGGGAAAAAAGGTCAGGTCATGGGTGAGTGGTGCTGATTGGAATGCAGTAAGTTGGTCTTGGGCCCACGTCAGTAGGTGGACACCCCAGGGCACATCTTTCCTTTTAAAGCAAGAGGAAACGGAGGAAGCTCAACCGCTGCAGCGGGTGAGGTGGAGGCTGGAGGGTGGGTTCCGCGGAAGCCACAGCCCCTCTGGCCCGCACGCAGGTGGCCGCGGCCGGCGCCTTCGCGCAGACGCTGAGGCGCTACACTTCGCTCAACCACCTGGCGCAGGCGGCGCGCGCCGTGCTGCAGAACACGGCGCAGATCAACCAGATGCTGAGCGACCTCAACCGCGTGGACTTCGCCAACGTCCAGGTGAGCGCCAGGCGGTGCAGGGGCGCGCGGGGCGGCCCGGCGGGGCGAAGGCTGAGCCTCGGGCGCGGCCCGCTCCCCGCTGTGCTCCAGGAGCAGGCCTCGTGGGTGTGCCGCTGCGAGGACCGMGTGGTGCAGCGTCTGGAGCAGGACTTCAAGGTGACGCTGCAGCAGCAGAACTCGCTGGAGCAATGGGCGGCCTGGCTGGACGGCGTCGTGAGCCAGGTTCTCAAGCCCTACCAGGGCAGCGCCGGCTTCCCCAAGGCCGCCAAGCTCTTCCTCCTCAAGTGGTCCTTCTACAGGTGCGTGCCTGAGCGRGGCTGGGTGGGACCAGCGAGGCCACGCCCCAGGACGCCAGTAGCGCGGGCCCTGCTTCCTGGGTCGGGCCAAAGGTGGGGCCCAAAGGTTCCTTCTGTTTGGAGCGGATGGGACCCTAGAGTCCTGCTGCTCGGCGTGGGTGGGACTGGAGAAGCCTCCGCCTCCGAGGAGGGCRAGGCTCAGGTGCTCTTTCAAGAAAGTGGGGGCCTCGGCCCTCAATGACGGACAGCCTAGGAGAACCAGCGCGGTGTCCCGTGTCGGTCGCCGGGCTCGCGCGTGCCAGGGTGCATTGAGAGACAAGCGGCGAGAGCGGCTGAGCCGGGCCTTAGGGGCTCTCGGTTGCCATCCCCAGCTCCATGGTGATCCGGGACCTGACCCTGCGCAGCGCCGCCAGCTTCGGCTCCTTCCACCTCATCCGGCTGCTCTACGATGAGTACATGTACTACCTGATCGAGCACCGCGTGGCCCAGGCCAAGGGCGAGACCCCGATCGCGGTCATGGGCGAGGTGCGCACCACGGGGCGCTGAGGGAGTGGGCCCGGCTCCAGGCGGTGGGACCCTCACTCTCTCTTCTCGCCTCTCTCCAGTTCGCCAACCTGGCCACTTCGCTGAACCCCCTGGACCCGGACAAAGGTAGGCAAGGCGTGTCCCCACCCAGGCCCGGGTCCCGGAGGCGGCGGGCAGGGAGGCTGGGGTGGAAGAGCSGGCCGGGCGCCGACACCCCGCGCTGAGCCGGGCCTGGTCCGTGTGCCCCAGACGAAGAGGAGGAAGAGGAGGAGGAGAGCGAGGACGAGCTGCCACAGGACATCTCGCTGGCGGCTGGCGGCGAGTCGCCTGCGCTGGGCCCCGAGGCCCTGGAGCCGCCGGCCAAGCTGGCGCGGACCGACACGCGCGGCCTCTTCGTGCAGGCGCTGCCCTCCAGCTAAGCCCGCAGCCCCGCCCCGCCCGCCCCTCCGTTCCTCCACGCCAGGGTCCMTCACGGCTTCTGTGGCTTCGCTGTCACCCCTCCAGGCCCCGACCAGGGCAGGAGGGGGCCTTCGAGACAGGGAAGGAGAGAGGGGCCCCGCCCCCCGATGGGGCCGGCACAATCACAGGGCTGGGCGGAGCCGCAGCTGCAAACTCTGACACAAAAGACGTGCCTTAAGGAACCCGCCGCGGTGCCCAGGTGCCCCACAGGGCAACCAGCTCGGCCCCTGCCTCCCACCCCGCCAACAAGGTCGCAGCATCTCCCCCACAGGCCCGCCGCCCAGGGGGCAGGCAGGCAGGCCCCCTCTCCTACGGAACTGTTAACTTATTCTGCTCGCTGGCTTTGCACAGCCTGTCCTGGGCCCAGCCGAGCCCTGGGCAGGCGCAGGTGGGTGGCACCTGGGGACCCCCACTGTCAGCAGCAGCCCCGGGACAACCCCCCACCCCCAGCAACCCCACTGCTTCCCCCTTCTTGGTATAAGTGCAATTAAAGTTGTGGGTGTTGCATCTTCTCCAGAGCTGGGCCTCCCTCGCCCCGTGGCCCCTAGAGAGAGGGGGCCACTGCGACGGCGGCAGCGGCCGCGGCTCCCAGCTTCCAAAGAAGAGCAGCGGCTGCTGCAGGGCCGGGAAGTGCCCGCGCCCGCCAGGCCAGTGCTGGGTGCTCCACGCATTGGAGGCCCTGCGCCCTGCGCCCTCTGCGCCGCTGGTTTGTAATGGAACCTTCTCCTGGAGACTCGCTTCTCCTCCGTGCCGTGGACCCCGCCCCCCATGACTATTGTGCGATTTGTGAGCGCCGCCTGAGCGGAGTTGGTAACTTGTTGGGTTTTTTTCCAACCATCATGGCCTTATCTGTTCCAGTTTTCTCAGTGTTTTCAACCTGTGAGATAGATGTTTATGGCAAAAAAAAAGAAAAAGAAAAAAAAAAGGAAAATCTGACCTATTGTATAAGAATCACTATTTTGTGTGCTCCGCGTGCTACAGCTTTTGGGGTGGCCCTGCCACTCCCCCAATGCCCACGGGGCCTCCCCTCTCCCCGGCGGTGAAAGTGTCCACGCGTGTGGTAGTTTAGTGTGCCGAGCTGTTTTCTACCTTTTTGTAGTCTTTCTTAAAACACAATAAATTCCGCTGTGATATTTGTCTGCTGCTGACTTGCTGGGCCTTGCTGGGGGCCATGGGCTGGGGGCTCCAGCTGGGCCCTGGAGCTGCAGTAACAGGACCTCAGCCAAGTTCAGAAATAAAGCATTTACTACATGAAGAGGAACAGGTGGGGGCGGCTAGCAGGTTCCCGCCTCAGGAGGGAGCCTTGGGTGGGTAGGTCCACCCCACCTCCCCCAGGGTCTCGTGCAAACCTGCAGCCAAGGAAAGGGGCAGATGCACAGGAGCCGGCCCGGGCCCAGCTCGGGGTGAAGGTGGGTCTTGAGGCTGGGGGGCAGGGGGCTCCTTCCCTCTGCCCTTTCCCAACTTAAATAGGCATAAATAAAAAAGCGTCCAGACTCTCAGGCCACCAGGGGCTGCCCCGCCCAGCCCCCTTCCCGCAGCCTAACACTAGTGCCGGTCGGCGGCCGGCCGGGAAGAGGCCAGCCCGGGAAGGCGGCCAGCTCCCAGGCCGCGGAGGTAGTTGGAGTCAGTGTCCAGGGCGGCCGGACCTCACAGCACAATCCACGTGTACCGCTCGCTGTCGGCCAGAACCTTCAGGGAGCAACCTGCAGGAAGAGCAGAGGCAGCTGTGAGCCTCGGGCAGTGCCCTGGTCAGGGCTGCACCTGCCTGCTAGCACCCTTAAGCTAGGCCCAGGTGGCCGCCCTCCCCTGGCCCTGATTCCACGAGGTCCACTGGAGTGTCCAGCTGCACATTCATTCAGCAGGTGCCTCTGAGGGCAGGTGACCCAGCCAGCAAGCACATCAGGTCCCGAGCCCCACCTTTGTGCAGAGCCTCATTGGTCATCCTGTTGACATAGCGGCCACTGCTCTCAGGTACCAGCCACTTCATGACCATGTCCACGCAGCTCTTGCGGTAGGAGCTCCAGACACTGCCGCTGAGGGGGGAGAGGGTGAGTGGCGCTTGGGACCCTAGCTGTCACCCCCTCCCCCTCCCCACCAGCTCCACCTCACCTGGTCTGCCCTTTGACCTCAGTGAGGTCACCCACACTGACGGTCTCAAAGATGCCCGTATTGAGGTCCCATGCCACCTTGAGGCTGGTGTGATAAGTCTTTGGTCTGTAGCGGGGTGGGGGAAAGAGAGGACAGGGAGGTGGAGGCAGGGCAGGGAGGCGGAGACAGAGGACGGGGAGGCGGAGACAGAGGACGGGGAGGCGGAGACAGAGGACGGGGAGGCGAAGACAGAGGACGGGGAGGCGGAGACAGAGGACGGGGAGGCGGAGACAGAGGACGGGGAGGCGGGACCAGGCGGGCCGTGGGTCCCTACACTGCGCCTGTCTTTAGGTCACATGGGCGATCTAGGTTCTGGCCTGCTGAGTGGTCTCCCCACATGCCCAGCCCTGGAGAAGGGCTGGGCAGGGCTCCTCCACCCACTCACCGGAGCTGGCCCTCCTCACTGGGGGAGGGGAAGGCCAGGAGCAGCAGGCCGATGTTGATGAGGACCTGGCTGGTTTCGGGGCAGACCTGGAAAGCGGAGGGGAGCTATTCATGGTCACCCCTCAGAGCAGGAGAGGCTTGGGCCCACCCTGCCCCACGCCTGGACCCACCTCCAGAATGACTATGTCATAGTCACTGAAAGAGCAGAACTGGTGGCCCCAAGTGGCATCATGGCGAATGACCTCGTTGATGACGTACTCGAAGTCCAATGTGAGCTGCTCCACTGTCAGATACTGGCCCTGGGGGCAGTGGGTGGAAAGCAGGGGCATGATGGTACCAACTGCCACCCACCAACTCCTGGGCCACCTGTGGTCTGCCCACTGCCCAGCCCCCACCTGGACAGCGGTCCGCTCCCGCATAGGCCGTAGGTTGCGGCCCCGGAGATCGGTCACCACGAAGGGCAAGGAGATCTTGTCATCCTCAAACTCTGGGGAGGCAGGAAGTGGGGTTAAGGGTGCTGGGACACCCGAGGGTCCTCCCCAGCCCGCACCTCGGTGGGTGGCCCCGCGCTCACCGTCCTCGGGCTCGGTACCTTCTCCGGACTCCAGCACGTAGTACAGCTTGGTGTAGTTGACGTAGCCGGGCTCGGGGGCGGGGGCCTCCGCGGCTGGGGGGCTGTCCCTAGGCACTGCCTCCCCACTTGGGACTGGGGGATCGGAGGCTGGGCGGCAGCGGCTGGCTGAGGGCCCTGGGCAGGGGGGCKGCCGAGTTTCCTCAGAGGTCCCCCCCTTGGCCTCTTTGGCCCTGCGGAAGATGTCAGCCACAAACTCCTTGGCTTTGGCGATGGCAGGCGAGGGCTCAGGGGCCCCGGAGGGCCGGGTCGGGGCCATCTCAGGGCTGAGGCTGGGGAGGGCGGGGGACACCTCTGGGCTCCGGGGCCCAGGGTGGGTGGCCGGGGCCAAGGGGGAGGCGGTGTGATCATACAGGATCTGGCAGAAGCTGCTGTCGCCTGTAAGGAGAGGGAGGGAGGTAGGGGGTCAGGACAGGAGCTCAAGCTCAGGACACTCCTAACCTGACCCCGAGGGCTTCTCAGAAAGGCACCTCAGGGAGACCCTCCTGAACCAGCTCATGCAAGGGGTCTGAAGCACCAAGGAGGGTCGGGCACACAGCGCAGGCGGCCTCCTTCAGACCCTGCCCTCCCTGCTCCCCTGTGCGTGCCAAGAAGACACAGGTGACCAAGACTCACAGAGCCCTGTCCTTGGGAGACCAGAGTCCACAGTGAGGATGGACAAAGCCACACAATAAAGTCAGTTACCTAGAAAGAGGAGTGCAGGCACAGACTGGCCCCTCCAGGCCTCTGTGGCCAGTGGTCCAGAGCCAGGCTCCCGAGAAGCAGGGTGCCCAGCTAGTGTGCCAGCCTGCCCCCACAGTGCCATGGCGGGGCCTGCACAGGGCCTCCTGGGAACCCCCAGAGCCACCTGGGAGAGGGTGCCGTGTCCCCAGAGGGAGGCTCCGAGAGGAGCGTGTCCCAGGCCACACAGTGAGACAACCCCGGTGAGTCCTGTCCACCACAGCCTGGCACGTCGGGGAGTGAAAGCTGGAAACGGCTGAGCAAAGAGTGCCCGGGAGCAGGCCTCCCAGTGAGTGTGGCACTCGTGAGTGGCCCTGCCCTGGGCTGGCAGAGATCAGGACCCACAGCCAAGAGGGCAGAGAGCCCCCCCCAGGGCTCACGGCCAACAGCTGGGCCTCAGCGAGCGGCAGGGCCTCACCCACGCTGCCTGGGAGATCCCTGGGTGCCTGGGGCTCGAGTGCCCCTTCCTGGCAGTGGACTTAGTCACCACACCTGATCCTGCCTCCCCACCCCCAGAACCCCCATTCTAATGGGGATTTACAATGGGTGTGAGTGTAGTTGACTGAGCTCTTCCAAAGTTAAGACGTATTTTTGGTTGACACCAGGTGGTCAGGGTCAGGCTTCTGCCTTGGCCCATGGCCCTGACATGCTCTGCGGATGGACACGGGGCGTCCATGGTGCCCCTCAGGATGCCCCTCACACGCTGGTGAGCATCTCCCAGAGAAAGTGACCTGGGCATGGGGCAGAGCTGCTGGGTCAGTCCATTGCCACAAGGCCCCCAGGACGCCACTGCCAGCCAGTGGCTTTCTCCCACTTTACCAGGGTCACTCTATCAGAGGACATGTTCAGACTTTTCACTGCGATTTCTCTGCTACCCAGAGGTAAGATGACTGTCCACCAACCACACCCTGACAGTCATGTGGGGTGCCTGGTCAGTGGACCATGCACGCCACACAGCGCAGAGCCTGGGTGTGCGGCCACCACACCCCCGGGTTTGTTGAGCGGATACTATAACATCCACGGGGCATGAAATCGCCCTACAGCGCACTGCCCAGAATGTGCCCCATCAAGTGACAGGTCACTGTATTTTGTCAACATCTTTTTTAGCAGTGCTGGGGATGGACCCAGTGCCCTGTATGATGAGACTGTGCTGAATGACACCCTGAGCCCCCGGCACTGCCCACAAAGTAGCTGCCAGACAGATCTGGCTGCTGAAATGTAAAATACCAAAAATTAAATAAAACTAGAATATCAGGGGCTGGGGTTGTGTTTCAGCGCTACAGTACTTGCCCAGTACACAGGAGGCCCTGAGTTCCATCCTCAGCACCATAAAAATAACTAAATAAAATAAAGGTATTAAAAAAAAAACCCTCAGTTACAAAAAGTTACTGGAGATGACCACAGTGGACAACATAGCCACAGTACATCCTAGCCCTACAGAAAATTCTAGTGAACAGTGCTGTGGGGAGGATGGGCTTGGATCTGAGCATTCCTGCTTCCTGGCGGTGACCTCACAGGAAATACGTCACGTCTCTGAACCTCGGTCTCCTCATTGCACCCTGGGATAGGAATGAGACCAGCCTCGGGTGCTGCTGGGCAGAGTGAGCAGAAATCATCCCAGGGCCTAGGTGTGCCCATCGCTAGACTCTCGGGACCTACCTGCAGAGTGGACGGAGACGGCACAGGCCACCAGGGAGTAGCTGGTGTTGAGCAGCACCACCTGGTCCTTCTTGAGCTGAAAGGCGGGCTGGAAGGTGGGGAAGGGGTAGACCACCTGGTACTTGGTGTGTAGCATGAAGCCATGCCGCAGGCACTGCGCGCTCGGGTCACCTGCAGTGACACAGGCCTGGCAGGTCACTAGARGCCCGGGAAGCTGGGAGGGCGACCTGACAGACCCCGGGACCCCCTGCCCAACCTGGGTGGGCGCGGCTGGCGTCCTGACAGGCAGCGCAGCGGCCCCGCGGCGGCACAGCCACGGTGCTGATGTAGATGTCTCGGTGGTTCTCGTCGCTCATCATCATCATGTTCATGAGCATGCCGTTGGCAGAGCGCGTGCTGGGGACCAACACCTGCTCAGCCCCGGCCAAGACCTCCCCCACCGTGGCCTCCCCAATCCTTCCCGAATCTCACTTGAAGCCAAAGACGATGACCTTGGAAGCGTCGCTGGGCCACTCGCACACAGTTAGGTACAAGTCGCTGTAGATCTCCTCATCCTGGAAGAGTCGCACCTGCCGGACCTGAGTGGCATGTTCAGGATCAGAGGGGGACACAAGGGGCCTAGGCCAGGGTCACGCGCTGCTGGGCTAGAATGAGGGTCAGGGATGAGCTGGCAGGAGTTCCCAAACAGCCCTGGCCTGTGTCCCCCAGGCTTCCCTGAGGACAGCTTGGGACATCTCCCTGTCCACTTTGGGGCAAACAGGGAGGCCAGGCCCAGGGCAGAACGCAGCCGACGGGAGGCCTCCCTGGTGAAGACCCGGCTAGACACACTGGTTCCAAGTCCCAGTCCCCTGGGTGAAGCTCACATGCCGACGGAGGCAGAGGCACCCACCTGGGGCGGGAGAGTCAAGCCACATAACAGCCTGTGAGGTCCTAGTAAGCTACCTCCTCCTACCTGGTGGCTTCACATGCTGAGCCGAGCGCAGTGAACTGCCACCACCCACCCAATTCCGAACACGGCAACTTCACAGGGTTCAAGCCGACACACGGCAGTTTCACACACAAGGGCTCTGAGGCTCGGAGGGCGCGTGACCTGCCCAGGTCAAGCTCCTTGAAGGGCCAGCCTGGTGCTGGAGCCTGGCGGAGGGGCCTGGCCCTACCAGCTTGAGCTTGCTGTGGACGTTGAACTCCCACCAGTACAGGTGGTAGATGTAGAAGGAGAAGTCGTCGTCCCCGCTGCTGCTGGTGTACGAGAGGACATAGCGGCCACACTTGGAAAAGCCCAAGAAAATGTGTCTGTGGAGGCAGAGGGGACATGGTGCCAGGTCAGGAAGCGCCCACTTCCCCTGCCCCACTGCCTGGCTGCCTCCCGGTCCAGCCCCAGTCTCACCCTGCGTAGAGAAAATCCTCATCCACAATGTTCTTGAGGGACACACAGACCCTGGGTGGCAGCTTCCGGAAAAGGCGAGGGGAGAGCTGCCCGCTGATCTGGGGAAGGGACAGCCAGAGCTCTTCAGCCACCATCCTCCTGTAGCCCCCCCAGCCCCCCCATCAAGGCACAGAAGCACAGCAGCATCTGCAGGGGCCATCCCAGTCCACCCAGCCCCACTCCCCATCCTCTGTAACAAGCTCTGGAAGGTGGGGACAGAAAGGAGACACTGAGACCAGGTAGATTTCACCTGCACCTCTCTCCTCACCACAGACCTACGAACCTCCCGGCCTCAAGGTCCTTCCTGCCCAAATCCAGTATCACTTCCCGAAGGAAGTTCCTCCAGTCACCCTGGCCCACACTGGGTCACCTGGCTCCCTTCCTGAAAGCTGCCCAGGGGACACACAGGGTTCAAGCCGACACAGTGCAGTTTCACATGCAAGGGTTCTGGGGCTCTGAGAGGTACGCCAGGGCATGCTGTTTGAAGGGCCATCCTGGTGCTAGAGCCTTGGTGAAGGACGGTGTATCCTCTACCAAGGAGGCTGGGATGAGGGCCATGCCCTCACCTGTCCCCAACCCACCAGCTTACGAAGGGATCTCTCAGGACAGTCCTAGCCTACATTGGGACCCAATCGCACACCTGGAAGGGTAAGTCTGTCGGAGAACACAATCACTGCCTAATGTCCCCTTCTCAATCAACACTTCCCACCAACACCTGCATCCTAAAAACATCACCACGGAGGGAACTTGACGGGACTGACAGCCACCAGCTGGCCAATGGGGGACTCCGAGCACCCTCAGTCTTGCCACCCAGTGGGATGCGGGGAGACACAGCCTCACTTTCAAAAGATTCTGATCTGATGGGAGACAGCTCTATCTGCAGAGCCCCCCAATGGCCCTCAAGGAGATCTCAGTCTGATGGAGGCCCAGACTGATAGGAAAGGCACCATCCCTGCCCAGGGAGCTTCCAGGCTCAGGGTGGAGCCATAGCCCTGCCCAGGGAGCTCCCAGGCTCAAGGTGGAGATTGTCCCTGCTCAAGGCGCTCCCAGTCAAAAGGGGGAGACACAGCCCTGCCCTCACAAGGCTCGCAGCTTCACGGAGAAGGTAGCAGTCCCCGTCCAAGCAGACAGTTTCCTCCCAGTTGCTGTCCACCTGACAGGAGATTCACATTTCTGCGCTCCCAGAACGCCCAACCTGAGGGGGTAACACGCCCAGCCCTGGGAGTTCCCAGCCCAAGGAGCTCCCTCTCAGCCGTCAGCGACCTGGCCCTACCCATGAAGCTCCGTCCCATTCAATGTGGAAGGCCCACCCAGGTACCGAAACTCCCAGCTCAGGGATGGTCAGAGCTGGTCAGAGCTGGGCAGAGGAACACCAGGAGGAGGGCGCCCAAAGCCGGTGGCAGGGCTCCGCCAAGGGGGCGGGAAAGCTCCTCTACGGAGTGGCCAGGGGAGCAGGGCTTCGGAGGTGGGTCTAAGCCTGGACTATCCCCTTCCTCGGGACTCCTCCAGAGGCCTCTAGGGTGCCCTCGCTTCAAGCCCCCTCCCCAAGGATCGCCTCCAGCCCCCTCCATCCAAGACCTAGTGCAGTGATCCGCCCCAGCCACCTCCGTCAGAACCCCCACCGCAGCCCCCTCCATCCAAGACCCGGCGCCCCGCCCCCTCTCCCCCAAGACCCCTCCCCGGGGCCCCGCCCCCAACCCCTCACCCCGCGAACGCCCTCCCTCCTTCCCTCCGCCTTCCTCGTCCCTCCTCCACACCCTCCGGCGCACTCCTCAGGTTCCAGGCCTCACCTTCACCCGCTCCAACTGCTTGAGGACGTGCTCCCGCCGCCGCCCCGCTGCCCGCTTTCCTCCGGCTCCCCCGGGGCCGCCGCCGCCGCTCCCGGCCCCGCTGTTCCGCTCCGATTTCGAGCTGGGCGCCATTTTCACCCCCTCCCTCCACTTCCGGAGCAACCGGCCCCTTCGCCCCACCCCCGCCGCCTCCTCATTGGCCCTCTCTCCGGACAGCAGCCCGCCGGTTGGGTGAGAGCCCGCATTCGAGGCCTCTTCCCGCTATGCCTGTCCATCAAGGTCGTCTCGGCTCATGATTGGTAGATGTGATAACAGCCCCCGCTACCCGTCGCCTTTTTCCCGCCCTCCCTCAAGGATAAACCAATCATAGGCCTGCTCTGTTCTCCTCCCCCAGAAAACTTTAACCCGATAGGTGAAAATTTCTGTCCGTTTCGGCATCGTCACGCCCCCTGTGGCTGATGGGTTTCCATGGAGACCGCAGGCGGTCCAGGTCTGTAGGCGAAGCGAAGGGAAACTGGTTCTGAAGGGCCAGAATCCCCGGCCCAGGTCTGTGCTGCTCCCCCAGTTCGGGTGGGTAGAGACTGACCAGCATCCCCGAGCGGCTAAGCAAGCGCTAGGAAAGGGTTTAAAAAAAAAAAAGATGGCATTCCATTAAAGCACGTTTTAGATGAGCGGGCTGGTGGGGTGATGATGATGATGATGATGATGGTAATGATACATAGCATCAATCAAGTTTTACAAGGGCCAGACATGGTTCTGAGTTCATAAGGATTCTGTGAGGTAGCCCTCTTTTATGCCTATTATACTGATGATGGTAAAAATATTTTTTGTCTGCTTCATGCATCATCTTCATGTGAATTAGCTCATTTAATCTTTGCAACAGTCTTGGAAATAGATCCCTTATCTTTATTTTACACATGAAACTGAAGCTTAAAGTGTAGCTCTCCTGAATACCCGGCACGTATATAGATGCCAGCTGTTATTACAGTTAGAGAGGAAGCGAATGGATCGCTCTCCCTTTTCTTCCAGTCTAGCCCATTCATTTATTCAATAAGTATTTATTGAGCATGTACAATATGCTAAGAAGCTGGGAATATAATGAGAAAGACAGATGATAAACAAGGAAATAAATATTTGTTATTGAATTCCAGGTAGGTGAGAAAGAGCAGAGGGAAGTGGGATATTTGGAAAGGGCAGTTGGAAAGGAGCCCTGTGAAGGTGAGGATGAATATTTAAGCAAAGACAGTTTGGGGGGAGGGGTGAAGATGGTGTGATTGAGAGACCGCAGTGAAACCACAGTAGTGCCACTTAACCACAGGGACCAGATCTGAGAAATTTGTCATTAGGTGATTTCATCTTTGTGCAAAGGCCATAGAGTGTACTTACAACCTAAGTTCTCAGGATAATCTTTTGGAACCACTGTGAGATGTACAGATCCGTCTTTGGTTGAATTGTTAGGTGCTTCATGGTTTTACTTGGGTCAGGGCAGGAATGAGAAAGGAGGCTGCGGATGTTGCTCAGAGGTCGAGGGCATGCTCAGCACGGGAGGCCCTGGTTTCCATCCCCAACACCAGAAGAAGCAGAAAGTCTCAAAAATATAAAGAAAGAAAGCAGGATCTGGGCACAGTGACACAACCTTGTGTGTGGGGAGCCACGTTGAGTGACCACGCCTTCCAGTCCTGATGCACCACGGGGATCTGAAAGATCACTGTAGCCTGGCGTGGCAGCGCCATGACTCTAACTTGGTCTCTTCCCCACTCGGATAGAGAGGCCAGTCTTCTGAGTCGGCATACCTCTGGGGTTGAGCTACACTCACCTGTTCTTTTATAATCCTACCCCTTAGCCCTGTTTGGGATAGAATGTTCCATGGAAATGCCCTTTGTGTGTCCCCTTCTCTTGCTCTGCCTTTGGGTGTGGCCTTCCTAGATGTCAGTCAACCTGCTGACGGCAGACATCACGAAGCTAGACTCAATCCCCCCAAAACCTGACCCCTTGCCTCATTTGAATGGCTTCTCCCCAATAAAAGGGTTCAGCATGTTCTCTCTCTCTCTCTCTCTCTCTCTCTCTCTCTCTCTCTCTCTCTCTCTCTCTTTCCACAGACCCCTAAGGTCAGAGGAGCCATCACAAGACCCAAAGAAAAAGATATCTCTGTCTCTTGAGTGGTTTTTTCGCACAGCCCAGTTCCTCTGGAGTGACCCTGAGTGTTTTAGTTGTGGAACTCGACACCTGTAATCCCAGCTACTCAGGGAACTGATGCAGGAGGCTCACAAGTTTGAGGCCAGCCTGGATCATCTAGTGGGATGCTGTCTCCCAACAAAATAAAAAGGGCTGCGTATGGATACAGCTCAGGGTCGCACATGTAGCTAGCCATGTGAAGGCCCTGGGTGAAGGCTCCAGTGCTGGGGGGTAGATGAAGCTCTAGAGCCAGGGAGTGTAGGTGGCTTGTAGGCTTGTAAGGCCTCTAGATTTTCCTCTTGAGCATAAAGGGAAGCCTCGTGGAGGGTTTAGTGGAAGATGATGAAAACCGATATGAGATTGAAAAGATCATTGTGGTCCAAGAACTTAAAATAAATACCCATGAGTTTATACTGATATAAATACTTTTTTTTCCCCCCCAGTGCTGGAGACTGAATCCAGGGCCTTATGCATGAGAGGCAAGCACGCTACTAGCTGAGCTATGTCCCCAGCCCCCTGATATAAACACTTGATTGAATAAATAAATAGAGGGAGGAAGGACCAATTTTTTAACTTTTTTAAATACCTTTATTTTATTTATGTATTTTTATGTGGTGCTGAAGATCGAACCCAGGGCCTCACACGTGCTAGGTGAGCGCTCTGTCACTGAGCCCCAACTTCAGCCCCAGGAGACCAATCTTAAAGAAGACGTGCAGTTAGTAAATTGACACAGAATGAGGAAAATAGAGAATCATTATTACAGCTTGGCACAGTGTGCGCACCTGTATTCCCAGTGACTCCAGCAGTTTGGGGCCAGCCTATGGGACACAGCAAGACTCTGTCTCAAAAAATTTAAAAAAGAGGGTTGGGCTGGGGCTGGGCTCAGCAGCAGAGCACTTGCCTAGCATGCGTGAGGCCCTGGGTTCTATCTTCAGCATCACATAAAAATAAACAAAATAAAGGCATTCTGTCCATCTACAACTACAAAATTTCCTTTTTTAATTTAAAAATGAAAGAAAGGAAGAGAGGGAGGGAGGGGAAAAAGGAAATGAAAGAAAATCATCATTAGATAAATACTACAGTGATAATTTTAGCAGGCAAGACCCAATCTCGTGGGACCAGGGTTGTGGCTCAGCGGTAGAGTGTTTGCCCAGCATGCATGATGCACTGGATTCGATCCCTGGAACCACACAAAAAGAAAATAAAGGTATTGTGTCCATCTACAACTAAAAAGATATTTTAAAAAAAGACCCAGTCATAGGTGCAAAAAAATAGCAGACGAAACTTTAAGGAAAAACAGCACTTTGCCTACCCTCTCATAGCACCTCTTTCAAAATATTAATTAACATATGTCCACCAATCCTTTTTTTTTTTGTGTGTGTGTGTGTGTGTGTGGTGCTGAGGATCGAACCCAGGGCCTATGTACATGCAAGGCAAGTACTCTGCCAACTGAGCTATGTCCCCAGCCCCCACCAATTCTTTATGAGTTCTCAGTTTGTCCCCTTGTGTATAGACTGGATTTAGTCACCCGCTTCTGAGGAATAACACGTAGAAGGGGGAAAGTAGCTGGGTAGTGGGGAAGCCTGGCAGACGCACCTTAATCAAATGATCAAGGTCAAAAACAACAGTGTCACGTTGGTGTCATGGACTCCCGATAACCTCACATGAAGGGGACTTTCTTTCCTCTTCTTCCCTTCTCTTTCTTCCTCTCCTTCCCCCCCTTTCTTTGTCTTTCTGGAGAGACAAGGTCTCTCTAAGTTGCTCAGGCTGTCCCCAAACCCCTGGGCTCAAGTGATCCTCCGACCTCGGCCTCTCACGTCACTGGGACTGTAGGCAGGCGCCACTGTGCCAGCCTAGGAGGACATTCTACCCGTCTGATAGTGTCTCTGAAATCTATAACATCAATGCAACCATGAGAAAACATTAGATGTTCGCCCCAAATTGAGGAACGTTCTATAAAATGCACAAGCAGTAACTTCCAAGGTGTGAAGGGCATAAGAAATTTTTAAAAAGAGCTAGAAACCATCACCAATTGAAGGACACTAAGGACACATGATGACTACATGGTGTTTTGGATGAAATTCTAGACCAGAAAAAAAGGCCGTCAGAGGGAAATTTGGTGACATCCAGGGTCAGCCTGTAGTTTGGTGAATAGGGTTACACCAACACTTGTTCATCTCTTCGTTGTCACGAATATGCCCTGGTCATGCTGTATGTTCACAAGTGGAGAGATTGGGTCTCTATGTGGGCAGCTTGGCATGACCACAGCCAGCTTGAGCTGCAGCCGCCATGATGCCCCAGAGTAACCCAAGGTGGTGTTTCCTGCAGAGTTTCCTGGGAAATTCCAACAGACCAAGCCATCAGTGTGGTGTGCGCAGCTGTACAGCTGGACCTGGCTCCAGGGACACCTGGACTCTTTAATCTCAGCTTAAGATAAGCCAGGGTCACGCCAGCCAGGAGGAAGTCACCTTCGTCCTAGCCCATAAACATGCCCCTCTTCCTGATCCAAATTTCAGGGAGCCAACGGGTCTTGCTCCCCCATACTTCTGTCAGGTCATGCTCAGCAAAAGGCACTCTGCCGTCCTGGATCTGTCTGCCCCCTCCTCTGGTCTCACAGCCCCTTGGGGCAGGTCCTCATGCACTAGGACTGGGCTGTTCTGGAACAGCAAAGAGTTTACCAGAATTCTGCTCTGGCTTGGCAAATATTCTGTACATCGAAAATGATTTCAAAATAAACAGGTTTCAAGAGTGGCAGAGATCTGGGCAGAGTGGCACAAACCGGTAATCCCAGTGACTCAGAAGGCTGAGGCAGGAGGATCACAAGTTCAAGGCCAGCCTGGGTGACTTAGAGAGACCCTGTCTCAAAAAAAGGGGGGGCAGGTGGCACTAGGGATGTCCACAGGGGTCAAGTGCTTGCTTGGCATGGGGGAGACCCCAGGTTCCACCCATCACTTCAAGAAAGAAATGGCAAAGGTGACTTTAGCAACTGG